ACAATACACTGTATTAATATCAATAATTTGTAATCAAGTAAATTGTACAGTATTTCTTTACCAGAACAATTGTAAAAATCAAATTTACTTACTGTTTTATTTCATTTATTTAGTTATTAAACATTCAATGATAAAAGAAAGTAAAAACAAGAATGAAATGATTTAAAATGATAATCATCAATTATCTGATTGTATTTAAATGAATAGAAGGAAATGAATAGAAAGTATAAAAAAGAATAACAAAAAGAAGAACTAAATGATATTTTCATAATAACATAAAAATAAAATGTTATTAAAAACATAAAAAGAATCATCTGGAATGATAAAAAGAACTTAATAATAAATATGAGATTAAATAAAATAACAATTTTATTAAATGTGATATATAACGTTAAATTAAATATTATTATTAAAAATAAAAAAGAAATTAAAAATAAATAATAATGGGAATAACAACATCATCACAAAATAACTTATCATTTGTTAAAACAATTCAAATTATGAAACAATTAGAAGAATGGACTGAAAGAAGAATACTGGGTGTTATATTTGATTCAGACATTGATGATTGGAATGAAGATACATCAGTATTTGAACAAAGAATAATAAATAAAGAACATATAATAATTATTATTGAAGATTCAGATGGAAATAAATTTGGAGGATATGTTAATGTGAAAATTGATAAAGTTGGTTATATAAATGATCCAAATTCATTTTTATTTTCATTAAAATCAAATGGGAGAATAGAAGGAATGATGAAATTTGATATTAAATATCCACAAGTGCATTTTATTTAGAGAATCAATCAGATAATTGTTTGTTTGAATTTGGATATGGAGGTGATATTTGTGTTTATAAAGAAAATAATAAAATAAAATCAAATTGTCAAGAATTTTCATTTTCATATAAAGGAATATCAAATGCACTTTGTGGAAAACAACTTCCAGAATATTTCACACCACAACGAATCATTGTAATTGAAATGAAATGATTTTTATTCATTATTATTTATTTGAAAACTAAAAAATAAAAAAGAATATAAAATCAAATCAATAAATAAACATTTCATTTATCAATGAATGAAGTGACGAATATAAAAATGATCATATTTCATTCTTGTTTTATTTGAAATAATCATATTCATTGTGTTAATTTAATAAATAATAAAAAGAAATAAGAATAAAAGATAAATAAAAATATAATAAAATATTTATTTTATTCTTTTTTATTTATTTTTTATTTTATTTATATTATGTTTATAATTGATTGATATGTTATTATATCAAAAATAAGAATAAATAACAATAAGATAAATAAGATAAATCAATTTATTATTTTATATTTCTTTATTCTTATTTCTTTTTTATTCTTTTTTATATTTACTCATGATTATTATATTGTTTATGTCATTAATAATATTGATTTTATATACTGTTCATACTTCTTTTATTAATCTTTAATTTATTTATCACTTCATATTATTATATATTACAAACACTCCATTATCTCATTTATTATATCAAATGTTTGTTGTTTATTATTATATTATCATTCAATAAAATGAATAATCAGTTCCTTTTTCATCATTCAATTGGTGTCATTTATTATTTAACACAATACTTTACTGTTTTTCAGTTATTATTTCTTTTTCCATATTTCATATTATATCAATATATTCATCTTATTAATGTCCTGTTTATTTATGTTTTAAATAAAAGGAAGGAAACAGATCAATTCAAAAAGATAAGGATTGAAGAAATTAAAAGATACTAAAATGAAAGTTTATAGAAATAATGGATAATAAGATTACAAACAATTAAACCAAATCAATTTGATATAGAATAATTGGATGACACAACAAATAAAATGTAAGAGTAAATGAAAAGGTGTTAATAACAAATATAGAATGGAAAGAAAAATAAAAGATAAGAAATGAATATAGAAATACCAATGAATGAAACCAAATGATATTCATATTAAATAATCAAAAAGAATGATAAATAAGTATTAACAAACAATGACTATAAATGAAAGAATTAAATAACTTATCTTTGGAAATATTAAAACATCGATAAAATAGAAGAATAAATTCAATTAATATTATAAAAACAATAAACAGATGCATTAAATAGTAAAAAATGAGTAGTTTTTATAGAAGTCTACAATTTCATTTGATTATTATCATTTCTTTTAGTTTCATTTCATCACGATTATCAATAATCATAAAATACTTTCTTTAAATTATCAAGTTATTTTATTCTTGTTAAAACTTAATAATTGAAGAAAACCATTTATTATAATTGAATAATTGTTGTTAATAATTTACAGTTATAAAAATATTCATATTCAATTGATTTAACTTCTAATTGTTGTAATTCATATTTCTTTCTATCTTATTTCGTATATTCTATGTTTTTATATATACTCATTCTTCTTTTTCTTTTAAATATGTTGAATAATTAATTTTATACCATATTACATATGTAGTTATTCTTCCGTCATTAAACATTTCATCTTTTCTATTATAAATATGAAATGTTTCAATATTAGGAAACAATTTTCTTGAATAATGATTTAATGGAATTGGATTAAAATGAAATTGTTTCATGTTTCCTTGAAATCTTTTAACACCCATTTCTAAATGAATAAAATCATTAATATCATTAAATACATTGATGTTATCATTATTTCATTGTATCCTATTCTCATTATTTATCGTTTTTATTGTTGTACTTTAATTATTTATCTGTTGTTTTGTTGAAATATTTCATTATCTTTTAGTTCTTCCTTGTTGTTTTCTTATTATTCTCATCTATTTCTCTATTTCATTTGATTGTTTTATCTTTTGTATTATTCCACATTAATATCTGAAGATTACAATAAAAATCAATCACGTAATGAAAGTTTGTTGACAATCTAAATAAAACTCAAGAACACCTATCATAAACATGAAAAAGTTGGTTATGAATAACATCTACAAAACAAACTGTTAGCAAAAGATTTCATTAACAATGAAGAGAAGGTGAGTGGCTATCTCATTTATGCTGTAGCTAGAGTAAATAGAAGAATAGAAATTATTTCTCCTCTTCATAACGAGTAAAGGAGTTATTTATTTTTTATTTGTATTAAGTTGTTTGTTCTTTTAATCAAAAAGATAATTGTAAAAGATAATCAAAAGAATTTAAAAGAAATGAAGTAATATGATTAAAAAGTAGAATGATCATATCCCCAATTATTTCCTGTCATTTCAGTGAAATTCAAATAAATGTTTCCACCTTCAATGCCAGCTTTTTGTTCCAATAATTTGCAATATCTATCAGATAACCCTTCTTGTTTTCCTTTTAATCCACCAATACTTTTAATATCAACAAAAGCACTTTTAACGATTTTACCACCAAATCCACCAATTGAAGTAACAACTTGAGTAGCACAATAACTAATTGGTTTTCCAATAACTTCAGATAAAATTTTCATTGATTCACTGACGATTTCTTTCTTAATTTCATCAGTAATATCAGCACTTAGAGTAATTAAAGCGTGTGGCATGAAGATTTGAACTTTTTATTATTTAAATTAGAAGATTTTTAAGAAATAAGTAAATAAATTAATAAAAGAAGAAATAAAGAAAAGAGAAGTTCATAAAAGTTTAATTAAAAGAAAGAAAAGAACTTAATAAGAAATAATTAAAAGAAGAATGGTTTGTTAAGTTGAAAACAAGTTAGAAAAAGAATAAAGTAATAAAAAAAGAATACTTAAAAGATAGAACGATAAAAATAAGATAAAACAAGAAAAAAAAGAAGAGAGTAAAGAAATTATTAAAGAATATATTGAAGAATTTAATAAAAATTTATATGAATTAAGTATAAAAGAAAATTTTTTTAAAGAAGAAAAAGATTTAGAAATAGTAGAAGATTTTTGTATTGAAGTAGAAGATATTAATAAACAGGAAGAAGAAAAAGAGAAAAAGAAGAGAATAATAAATATGATAGGAATTATAATGTATCAAATGAGAAAAAGTTTATATGAATGGGCACATTTAAGAACATATTTTATAATAGAAAGAATAAAAAAAGTTATGAAAATATTTATTCATTTTATTATTAAATATATGGAAGAGAATATTAAAAATAAAGAAATAAATAAAGAAGATATACAAAAAATTACAATTATATTTAAAATTGGAATGGAAGAAAAAATTGAAAAAGAATATGAAGATATAATAAAAATATTTAGTGTTAAAGAATTTTATAATGAAATGAGTAGTGAAGGAATAATTAAATTAAAAGAAAAAAGAAATAAAGAAGAAATAAAAGAAGATAATAAAAATATATTAGATAAACAAATAATGAAAGGATTATTAAATATTGATGTTACTAAAACAATAAATAAAGAATTAGAAGAAAAAGATATTTATGGAAAAATTATAGAAGAGAATCAAAGAATATTTAATTATGAAGAAAAAGGAATAGGAAAATATTTTGAATATATTACTATTCCAATTGATAGTATTAGTGAAAGAATTAAAAATAATAAAGAAAAAAATATAAATAATCAAAATGATATTCAAAAAATTAATAAAGAAATTAAAGAAATATTAATATTTATTATGAATACATTTCCTAAAATTGAACCAACTTGTATTGGATATATTAGTAAAGTATTAGTTAAAATTACAGAAATTCATGATTTATTAAGTGAAATTAATTATCATGATGAATGTGAAAATTTAGTTAGTATTATTTATTCTATTATAAATATTATTGGAGAAAATATTGGTAATATTGTTGTTGAAACAAACATGCAAGCTTATTGTGCTGCTCATCTTTTTCAAACATTATTACCAAATAATTTTTCATTAAAAGAATTTTTAAAAAGTTTAAATAATACAAATGAATCTATTGATATGCCTTGTTTATATCCAATGGCTGTTGCTTTAACATTTTCAAGAGAAGTTTTTCAAAAAATATCAAATAATAAAAAATTTATTGTTGATGAAAGTTCATATAAAAATGTTTCAAGTATTCCTTTAAAACTTAAAATGTATGATGTTGAATTTGATGCATTAACATTACAAAATAACTCAGTATTATCTACAATTATTCTTTCACCAGGAGGAAAATTTTTAGATATTATCTTTTCATTATTGTTAATGAGTTTCTTAGGAATTGGATATCTTGAACAAGAATTATTAAGAGAAAAGAAAATTTTTATAAAAAAAGAAGAAGAAATAAAAGAAAAAGAAAATAAAATAAATAAACAAAAGAAAATTATTGGAAAATTAGATATTTCTATTACAAATAAAGAAAATAATAAATCAAATGCATTCTTAAAAACACCTAGAAATAAAACACCTAGAAATACATTAACACCTAGAAAAAGTATTTTAACACCAAGAAAAGAAGAAAATAAAGAAATTAAAGAAATTAAAGATAAAAAAATTAAAATAGAAGAAATAAAAAAGAAAGAAGAAAATAATAAAGAAATTAATTATGATATTACTAGATCATTACCACTTTATCTTTCAATATTCATTTTTGGAGAAAGTTCAAATGAAGAATTAAGAAAATATGTTTCAAAATATTTTAATGCATATCATCTTGATGTTATTATCTTTTTAACTCAAATAGAATCTAATAATATTAATATTAATTCACAAGAAAAAATATATGGACCATTAGTTAAAGATAAAGAAAGTATAATGAATCTTAGATCATTATGTAGTTCATTAGTTAATTATAATTGGCTTTCAGAACAATTAATGGGATATATTATTAGAAAACAAAATAAAGAATATCCAATTCAAGTACCAAATGAATTAATAATTTTTTTAACAAGAGTTTGGATTAATAGAATTACAAATAAAAAAGAAGGAGATAAAGAAGATATGCAAGGAATTAATTTATGGGAAACAATGAATAAAAATATAGAAAAAATCATAAAAGAAAAAGAATGGAAGAAAGGAGAAGTTATAAGTCAAGAATATATGATTATGATGTTACTTATTTATAATTCATTTAAAGAAGAAAATAAAAAGAAATTTATTATACAGATTTTTAATAATATTATTAATATTGAAATAAATAAAGAAATTAATAAAATTATTTTAAGTAGATTATGTATGATGTTAAAATATATGATTGAACATTTTAAAGAAAATGGAAATGAAATTATTGAAAGTATTCAAAAAAATATTTTAACTAAAGATATTATTATTAATAAATCAGAAAATATCATTTATCCAAATTATATGAAATATAATCAAGAAGTTCTTAAAGAAATTAAAAAAAAAATTGAAGGAACAGAATATCAAAATATTGAATTTTATAGTCTTAATCAAGAAAATAAATATCAAGATATGATTAATAAAATAAGAAGAGGATTATTAGAAAATAATGAAAAGAATGGAGAAATTATTCAGAATATTTTAAGTAAAGAAGAATATTGTATTTTTATTAATAAATTACTTCAATTTTTACAAATAAATAAAATAATTACAAATGAAATAGAAGAAATGATTAATGAATATTTATATCATAATATTATTGAATTATTAACTATTTTACCACCAAGTAATAATATAATTGAAAAATTTCAAAATAAACAAATATTTAGTGATAATGGAATTAATGATGGATTAATTATATTAATTATGTGGATGAATTTATTTAGTTATGATATTAATCCTATTCCAAAAGAAATTGAAGATAATGCTAAAGAATTATTTAAAGATTTAATAAATATTTTAGATAAAATTGGAAATATTAAAGAAGAAAGAAAAGATCAAGGAATTCATTATGAAAGTATAATTAAAATTATTATTGATACAATTAAAAGTCATTGTTGGAATGATATTATGATTAAATCAAGAATTAAAGAAATGGAAGAAGAAGTTGAAGATAAAGAAAATATTCAAATTAATGAAGAATTATTAAAAAGAAAAAAAGTAATAATTAAAATTAAAGAAGAAGAAGAAAATACAAATAATAATTTAACACAAAGAGAAATTTTAAAAAAAGAAATTAATAGTATTAATGAAATAATGTATAAAGAAGAAGAAGAAGAAAAAGAAAAAATAAAAGAAGAAGAAATTGTTAATAATAATAATAAAATAAGAATTATTGATAATCTTCCTATATTACCAATTCAAAGTTTTAGTGAAGCATGTAATGAAATATGTATTAAAAAACCACAAATTTTATTTGATATTATTACAAAAATTCTTCAAAAATATAGTGAAATGATGAAAAAAGGATGGAGAGAATATATTGAAGAAAAAGGAATAAATAAAGAATATAGTCAAATTTTTATTGATATTATGTATAAAGGAATTGATTTAAATAGTATTGAACATATTATTGAAGAAATGTATTCAACACCAAAAGAAATTAATGAAAAGAAAAATATTATTAAAGAAATTGGAACACAAAAAGGAATTAAAATGAAAGAATTTATTCATCCATTAAATTATTTAATTGAAAGTATTGAATATCATCCAAATATTACTAGTAAACAAGGAAAAATTGGAATGAAACAAAGTTTAATAGAAAGTATTATTATTTTAATAAAAGAAATATGTGAAAGAAATAATATTAATGGAAATTATCAAGATAGTAAAATTATGAAAGAAATTTTTAAATTATCAATTAGTTATATTAATAAATTTATTGAAAAAGAAATAATAGAAGTTGGAAAAAAACTTTGTGGAGATACTTTAAGTGAACCAATGATGAAACAAGCAATATTACCAATTATTGATGATTTTTTAGAAGATTTTTTAATAGAATATCAAAATAAAAAAGAAGAATATAAAATTATTATTCCAAATATTAGAGAATATTTTAAAGAAATGAAAAAAATTATTGAAGATATTGAAATTCAAAAACAACATGGAAAAGTTGGAGGTGAAATGTATTATTATCAACATAAAAATTATTATAGAGAACCAAATTTAATCATATATTTTAAATGTGCTAGTGAAATTATAGATAAAGAAGTTAATGAAGAAATTATGAAATATATTATTAAATTATGTAATGTAAATAATTCTATTAAAGATGAAATTGAAACAATTATTGAAGGAAATGGAAAAGAAATATTTTCAAAATGGGGTATTCAAAATATTATTGGATTTAATGATAATGATAATATCTTTAGAATTGCTGAAAGTTCTACTACAATTCAATTTTTTAAATTTATTAATACAATTATGAAAATTAATGCTATTACTGGACAAGTTAATGTTAATGGAGTTATTGAAGCATTTTCACAAGGAATTGAAGAAGTATTTAAGAAATATCCAAATTATATTGGAAAATATTTTAAAATAATTACAGAATATTCATTAGAAAATGGAGAATTTATTATTATTCTTAATTCATTAAATAATTGGTTAGAAAAAATAAATAAAGAATATAAAGAATTTAATTATAAAGAAATAGAAGGTATTTCATCATTATTTGAAGAAATCCAACATATTATTATGATTATTCCAAAGAAAGAAAAAAAGAATGAAATAAAAAATCTTATTAAAAAAGAAGAAGAAGAAGGAAATGATGAAATAATTAAAATAGAAGATAAATGTAGTAAAAAAGAATATAAAGAAGAATTTAAACAACCAATGTATCATTGTTATGTTTGTGATATTAATTGTTGTAATTCATGTATTAAAAATTGTCATGAAGGACATGATACTATTTATCTTGGTGAAATAACTAGTATTTGTGAATGTAAATGTAAAGAAGAAGAAGAAGAAAAAAAGAAAGATAAAAAACGTAATAATGATGAAGGAATTAAAGATAAAAAACAACAAGCTATTCTAAGAGCATTAAATAGAGATTATACAATACCTAAATTAATTAAAGAATTAATTAAAAGAATTGAAGAAACAAAAGAACATTACAAAGAAGAAAAAGATAAAAATCAAAATATTTTAAAAAATAAAATTATGTTACAAAATGAAGGAATTGGTATTGGATATGAAGAAAATATACTTATTGATAATAACCATTTTAAAATGAAAAGTAGTCAAAATATGAGAATTATACCAATGGTGTCTAAAGGAATTATTAAACAAAATTTAATATGTTGTGATGAAGAAAGAATTTATTATGTAAGAAAAGGAAATGAAATTGAAATTAATAATATTCAAAAACTTCTTTCATTAAAAAGAAATGAAAATAATGAAGAAAATAATATTATTGAAGTTCCATTTGAAATTATTAATATGAGTTGTTGTCCAGAAGAAAATAAAAAAATATTAGTTAATGGATATAGAAATGCAGAAATTATTATTATTGGAGAAAATGAAGAAGAACAACAAATTGAATTAGTTATGGATAATACAGATAAAGATATTTTTATTAATTGTATTGAATGGATAGATAAAGAACGTATTGCAATTACAACAAGAAATTCAATTAAAATATTTGAAATTAATAAAATTAATGAAAATAATAGTTCAATTATTGAATCAAGTATTGATTATAAAATTTTACAAGGAGAAATTTTATCAAGTGTTATTATTAAAACACCAATTATAAAAAGAATTATTATTAGTACTACTGAATCAGAATTATTTTATCAAGATATTCCTAAATCATTTAATGAAAATAATAAAGAAGAAATTATTCAAAAAGAATTTAAAATAAATCATGAAAAAGAATTATTTATAATAAAATATTTAGAAAGAGAAAATATTTTAATATTAAGTAAAGAAACATTAGAAAGTTATTTAATTGAATTAAATAATAAAGGAGAAATTTATAATGAAGTAGAAACAATATTTGAAACATTACCAACATATTTTATTGAAACAAGTAAAAATACAATGATTAGTAATTGTCAAGAAAATAAAAGTATTAAATCATATAAAATTATGAATAATGGATTAAATTATATTAAATTATATGAAAAAGAAGAAATTGGAGGAATTTGTTATAGTAATAAAGAAAAAATAATATTTATTGGAATTTGTAATGGAAATCTTATTGGATTAAAAGAAACCGAAGAAATTGAAAAAATTAATAAATTAAAACCAATGAGATCAAATAAACAAAGATTTTTTGAAAAAATAGAATATATTAAACCAGAAGATTATGAAATAAAAGAAGATAATAAAAAAATTATTATTCCAGAAGGTAAAATTCAATTATATCATTGTAATATTCAATGTACAAAAAAAGTCATTCGAGGAATTAAAATTTATTTTGGAAAAAAAGTACCAAAACAAATTAATTTTAAAGAAAGAAATTATCCAATTGGAGAAGGAGAAAGATGGTATGATATTGAATTAAGAAAAAAAGAATCACTTTTAAATAATATTAATATTAGTTATTGTTCTACAATTAATGAAGAAGATAATATTTCAATTGAAGATATAGAAATTTATGGAGAAAGTAAAGAAGAATTTAATTATGAAGAAAGAAAAATAATTGAAGAAATGAAAAAAGAAGATAATAAAGAAGGAAAAGAAAATAATATTTTTGAAGAATGTATTAAAAAAGGAATTGAAATTATTGGAATAATTTATAATATCACTAGAAGTAATAAAGATAGAGATGAATATAAAGAAGATATTATTAATAAAGTTAAAGAAATTTATAATAAAGGATATAAAGGAATTAATAAAGCATGTCAAGATACATTAAAATTACTTTCAGTTAATGAACAAACAGAACAAAAAATTATAGAAAAATTTAAAGAAATTAATGAAAAAATGATTAATTCAAATGATAATAAAGAATGGAATAAATATTTATTATTTATTTATGATAATCAAAATAAAAAACCTAATATTCTTTTAAAATATCTTATTAGTAATCCTAGATTTATTACTAATTTTTGTAATAATGTTATTGATAAATATAATGAATTAAAACCAAGTATTATTAGTATTCTTATTAAAATTTTATTAAGAAATATTGAAATTATTGAAATTTCAAAAAATCATTATAAACAACATTTTGAAATTATTAAAACAATTATTTTATTACCTCAACAATTATCTGAAATAGCATTAATTACAATTTGTCAATATTTTACAGAAAAAAAACCAAGAATAAAAGAAATTGAATATACTATTAGAAGTATTATTCAAGAAAATAAAATTATTGCTGTAGAAAAACAAATTGAAATTAAAGGAGGAGAAATAGAATTTGAATATGTTAAAAATATTAAAGAAACATTAAATGTAATGGTAAATAATAAAAATAAAGGAAAAGAAGAAAAATTACAAACAATTACAGAAACAAAAGAAATGTCAATTAATAAAATTATTGATGAAAGAGAACCAATAGAAATGAATGAAATGATTTATGGAATTATTAATGGTATTTTAGAAATAATGAATCAAATTAAAGAAAAAAGTAATGTATTTGGAATGATGGGAGTTATATTTTATTGGATTATAACTCAAAAAAATTATATTATAAAAGAAGAATATATTGATAATTTAATTGATAAAATGATAGAAATAATTAAAGAAAATAATGAAGAAAATTCTTTTATTATTATTAAATTAATAAGTTGTTTATTAAGTTCATTAGATATTGAATATTATCAACAATATACTAGAAATGAATTAACTAATATTATTTATTCATTTAAACAAGGTATTTTACCTAAACCATCAGTTTCATTATCAAGAATAATTGCTAAATCAATTATTAAAAATAAAAATGGAATAGAACATGAACTTTATCAATTATTTAATAAAGAATATAATAAAATTATTAATGGTAAATTAAAAATTCAAATTAAAGGAGAAAAAGGAAATATTCATAGAAAACCAATTAGTGAAAATAATGAATCAATGTTTGATGATATTGAAATAAAAATTATTGAAAATATTATGTCAATTATTTATTATTTATTTAATTATAAAAGAGATATGGAAATTAAAGAAATTGATGATAAAGAAATTTGGAATAAACAAATAAGAGAATTAGTAAATAAAAATGAATTTCATACTATTTCATATTCATGTAAAAGAGTATTATATCAATTTGGTGGTGGTGCTTATGCTTTTCATTTAAAAACTGATTCAGAAATGTACCAACATTCTATTCCAAAAATTATTGAAATAATGAATCAACTTATTAAAAAACAAGAAATTCAAAATGAAAATGAATTTAAAGAAGAAATCTATAAAATTATTAGAACATCATTTAAACGTCCAAATTTATTCCAACAATATATTAGAGAAGATAATGAAATCTTTTTATTAATGATTGAACTTCTTTCAATGAATCTTCATAATGATATTATTGTTTTATTATTAAAATTACTTAGAAGTTCTTTCTTAATTAATGTGGATAAAACTATTAGAGAAAAACCAATTAAATATGGAATTACTCAACTTCAAACAATTATTGAAGAACGTCAAAAAGTTCTTGATGATTTAGAAAAAAATAAAGATTCTGAAAGAATTTTTGTTGAAAGTATTTGTAAAGATTCTCATATTCTTCATAACATTATTCTTTCTTTATTACAATTAAATGATAAATTAATTAATATTGAATTAACTAAATTAATTGAAAGTATTGGAAATTTAGCTAATCAATATCAACGTAATACTTTATTAAATATTTTATGGGATTGTTATCCTCAATTTAATACAAATTCTACATTATTATCAATGATTAGTACTATTTCATTCCTTAAAGCTCAAGGAACTTTAAAGATAGATCATTCTATTAATCAATATTTGAATTAAATTGAATTCTCTTTTATTTAAATCACTTTTTTTATTAAATTTATTTCTCATTTCAATTTGTAATTAATTTATTTATTTTATTCTTTGAAATTACTTGAAGATTTCATCTTTGAGACTAGTTCTTCTCAATTTCTTTTATCTTTGTAATGAGTCTAATTCCTTTCAATTTTTATCATTAAAACACTCACGTATATCTCTTACTCAAAACTGATTTGTGTTATATCATACAAAATCTTAACTCATAACACCAACATATAATCACATGAAACTGTATTTTCAATAATAACATTCTTGATAAATGGTTTAAAGTACTGATGAATCATACAACTATGTAGAAACTCATTTTGCAAACATTACTAAATGAAGAAAACACAACAAAATTCTCAATTCAGTTAATTTGATTTGTTTTAGTTATATATATCACACAATAATATAACTGGGAAACACATACATCTTGTCCAATAAAGAAAATAAAATAGATATAAAAACAAATAAAAGTAGATATAGTAAATTATTAAATAATGATACATCTAATAACCAGATTCATAAATAATCGCTTTTAACGTTAAAGAGAACAGATAAACTCTTATTATTTCAGAAACTGTTAACACTCTAAATTATCTATTTAAATAATTTTAAAAGTCTTATCAATAACAACCAGTGTTTGGACATACTATTTCATAATAAATTCAAAATACTCAATAAATGAGTTTTTAAATTAAATCATTTTCTTTTTAGAGTTTTATCTCCAAATTACAAAATAAAATCATCTGGTTCTAAAATGACATCCTTATCAATTCCTTTACTTTTCTCTCTTTCTTCACTACTCTCATTACTACCTTCTGTTGAATAACTCATATTTTGTTCTTCGTTATTGTTTTCTTCTGCATTCCTCTTTTTTGCTAAATCATTCTTTAATTGATCACACATTTCAATGTTGTGTTCTTGAAGATCGTTTCTGATTGTGTTTAAATCGAGTGAACCTATTAATCCAACTATGTCTTGTGTTATAATTTTTTTATACTCAACAGCATTTTGGTTTTCTTCTTCATATTGTGCAAATACATTTCGTTGAATCTCTAACTTCATATCCTTCTTTCTTTTTGCTAACTTCCTTTGTCCACCCATCCAATGGCGTTTCATGATGTTCTTTACAATTACTCATGTCTTTTAGATAAGTGTCTTTTCGTTCATAATTATTGTCCTCATTCTTTAAAGACTATAATAACACAATTAATTGAAGGAGATGTCACACGTTCTACGTCTTGTTGTTGTATTGAGAATCTAATCAAATTTATCTTCTTGTTCATGACAATTCATTAAAAAATACACTTGTAAATATAATTATATCAGTTTTCTTGTATAAACAAAGCTAGATGTCCTCTATTGGATGGCATAATTAAACCTATACAATGAAATTGGTCCATTAATCTACAAATGTCTTTCCAATTAATGTAATTTGACTAATAATGTAAATTCCTTTCCACATCATTTTTTCTTTATTATTCTATTTTCTCTTTTCTTTTCGATTAAAAATAAAATTCATCATTCATTAAATTACATTTATTTTTCTTTTTTCTGTTTTTCTTTTTGTTTTGTTTGAATTCTTCTTATAACAAAATAATTACTTAAAATGACAAAACTTATTCTTTTGATGCATTTGTATTAAATCATCAACTCACAAACTCATTCAATGAAAACCACTAATAAAATCATCCTTGGCATTACTGCAAGTATTGCTGCTTATAAAGGAATTGAAATCGCAAATCAACTTACAAAAAGAGGATATGATGTTCATGTAACATTAACTCAAAATTCACTTCATTTGATTCAACCTTCAACCATTGAAGTATTAACTCACAATAAATGTATTATTGATAGTTTTGATCGTCCAAATGAATATGACGTTCACCATATTTTATTAGCACATTCAGCTTCTTTATTTCTCATTGCACCAGCAACAGCAGATATTATTGCAAAACTTGCTGCAGGAATAGCAGATGACTTTTTAACAACAACATTCCTTGCTGCATCATGTCCTAAACTAATTGCACCAGCAATGAACACTACAATGCTTCACAATCCAATCACTCAAAGAAATATACAAATTCTTAAATCATTTGGTGTTAAATTCATTAATAGTTCATACGGTAAATTAGCTTGTGGGGATGTTGGAGATGGTAAACTAGCTCCTGTTGACACAATATTAACATCTGTTGATCAACAACTCCATCCAATCCAACCACTTCTCAATAAGAAAATAGTTATTACTGCTGGACCAACAATTGAACCAATAGATCCTGTTCGATTCATTACAAATCACTCAACAGGAAAAATGGGATATTCAATTGCTCATGTAGCACAACAACTTGGTGCAACAGTTACATTAATTACTGGACCAACAACAATACAAAAACCAAGTGGAGTTAATATTGTCAATGTACAAACAGCAATTGAAATGTATGATGCAGTTATGAAAGAGAAAGAAGTTGACATTTACATTATGTCAGCAGCAGTTGCAGATTATCGTCCAATGAAAATTGCTAATCAAAAAATTAAGAAGGATGAGAATGAATTAACAATGACATTTGTTAAAAATCCAGACATTTTAAAGGAAATTGGAGATAAAAGAAATGATCACCAAATCATTGTTGGATTTGCTATGGAAACTCAAGACTTAATTCAAAATGCACAAGAAAAGCTTAAAAAGAAACATTGTGATATGATTGTTGCAAATCAATTAAATGTACCTGGTGCTGGATTTGGAGGAGAAACAAACAAAGTTGCTTTTATTACAAAAGATGGAGTTGAAGAAACTGAAGTACTTTTGAAGAGTGAAATAGCACAATTAATTATTGAAAAAGTTATTGACAAAATAAATCAATAATTTATCATTCTTTCATTCTGTTAATAAAGTGCATTGAAACTAATTTACTTAAAAAGTAATGAAAATTAAGTTAATTTATAACATGAGAACCTGCAGATGGTTTCCATTTTTCTGAAATAATGGCTTCAGTAAATTCATTCTTTCCAATTACTTCAAGTTGTCCATGGTTTGGAGAAAGAATTTCAAGAGCTTGCTGAACAAATTGATTTGCTTTAACCATTACCATTCTTTTTACTGCTGGTCCTTTCCAATGCATAAAAATCAAACGGACTTGATCAGGAATTCCTTGTAATTCTAATCGAAGTGCAAGAAGAACAAATGAAACTTGATCATCATGAAGAGCATTTTTTAATTCCATTATACCATTTCCTCTTTCTCTGAACACAAGTTTATTTTGGTTGTAATCAAGAATTATATATTCTCCATGTGGACAATCCAAAGAGTTCATAACTTTCATAGCATCTTCAACCATGTGTGAATGTTTTTTAAAATTTACAAATTAAGTTCATTGTTTTGTATTTAAGATTAATCTTCAACTTCTTTTTATTGATTTTTTTCATTGTATTTCAAATGATTAAGTAATCAAATTATTTGTTTTTATTATGTATGATGTTTTTTTGTTTGATTTTTTGTTATTTTGTTGATTCTTTATTTCTTGAAGTATTCATCTAAAACATTAAAAACTTCATTCACATTTTTCATTTTAAAAAGAAATTAAACAAAGAACTAACTCTTTAATTAGTATTACTTCTTGTATTTATGGTTTTATTAATCGTCCTTGGTATAACAACTTTCTCATATGGTCATTTTGAGGACCAGTTCCACAATACCCTTGGATGTTATTAACTTGTGCAATTCTTTCTCTATAAGAAAAGGAACTGTCTGCATGAATACTCTTTAAGGCATCAACAATTGAAAGATCAACATACTTAGGAGTTTGGAAAAATTGAATTTGACGTTTTGGTGTTTCTTGATTTTCAGGAGGTGGAGCAACTGGTTGGTTGTTTAATGGAGTATCTAAGAGTTTAAATTTTTGGTAATCAGAACATGTGAAATGACGAGTATGACAAGAAGCTAATAATTCATCAGAATCAGCAGTAAATGCAAGAGATTCATTACTCACACTTAAAAAGGAAATTGTTCCATCATTATTTTCAATAACTTTCCAGAAAGAGTTAATATTTGTTGTATCATTCCATTGATGAATAACACTTCCTTCAGATACGTCAGATCTATGTACTAAAAATCCATTATGTCCTATTTTTATTTGGAATGAATCATTCTTTTGAATAAATTGGAAGTGTTGATTTTGATTACCATGAGACCAATATAAATTAATTGGTTGTCCATTCTTGAAATCAGAATATTTAGCATCAAGGACAAATCTTGTTGTACAACATGGCATAATATAATAAGATTTACTAGTCAATTTTCTAATAAATGCTTCTTTCTTCCGTTCTAATTCTTCTTTAAGATGATTTTGTTCTAGTGTTTGTGCAATTTGTTTTTTCTTATCAAATAAATCATTCAATTCATTGAATGTGTCTTGAAGAATTTTATTATAATCATTTTGATTGAATATTATTTGTTTGTTTTGAACTGTGTACATTTCACTATTACTTTTAAAGACCCCAAGATAGTATTGGTGATATAATTCTACTTGATGAACAGTAGAAAGATCTTTTGTTTGTAATTCTTTGTCAATAGTATTGATTAAGTTGTGATAATAATTTTGGATTTTGATACAGACATCTCTCCATTGTTGTTTTCCATTTAATATTTCATTGGTTTTCAACTTAATTGTCTCAATGCATTGATGTTTCAATTCATCTATTCTTGTACATTTTTTATTTGAATAGAACTGAAGTGTTTTTTGATTTAATGTTAGTGTCTGTGTTAAGTAATTGTTAATTAATGAATCATATTTATTTTGTTCAAACTGTTCTTTGATTTGAATTTGTGTAAGATATGTCCACATTGGTGTTAATCTAAAACTGTTACAATGAATTAAATCATCAATAATCCTTTGAGTATCTTTCAAGATAAATTCTTCTAAATACTTTGAAGTGATTGAGATAGAATCAAACAATTCATTAGTGAGTTGATCACCATAAATAATCTGTAATACATCCCAAATAGGATTAAATTCCTTTTCAATAATTTGATAGACAAGATTCTTTATCTTTGATTGATCTTCAATGACAGTTATTCTTTCATCTAAGTTCATTTTATAAAACATTCCAACTAATTTCATATTGATTGAACTAATAGTTGTAACATATTTTTTCTTGAGTAATCGTTTTATTTCATTGAAGATGTTATTAGTATTTAGTTCATTGATTGATTTGAAACACTCAATAAGAATTTCTATACAAGAAAGAAGATAAGAACCAGACTTACAATTTGATGGAATTTCATGAAGAATTTCACAAATGATATTTCTCATTTGTTCTTTGTAAAATCTACAAATGATTTGACTTTGAGAAACTGGACAACATGATGGAAGTAAGAAACAAAGACAATCTGTTTGATGTGGCTTTGTAGAGAAGAAATTTACAAGATGATTGTTTATATGTTTTTGTTTATTCAAGACTGTCTCTTTAAGAGTTACTTCATCTTCTTTTTCTGTAGTAGTTTTAATATCTGATGAAATACAAATAACTCTTTTTCCTTCTTTTCTTATTCCTTGTAATTGTAATAAACAAGAGAGATTATCAATTGATGATATATCTTCTAATACACTTGCATTTATTTCATTGGTATTATGAATAATTCTTACAGAAGATAACTGGAGAATAGAAAGAATTCCAGTAATATTATTCAGTGTTGTACTAGAAGTTAGTTTAAGTTTTGTAATTTCAATAAAGAACACTTCATCATTTAAAATTTGTTGAAATTCTTGTTCTTCTAAATTGTTTCTTTTTACTATATCACTTACAATAATTGGTCCAATAATATTACACTTATTTGTTTCTGATGTGGAAGTCTCATTTGAAACTTTCAATGGTTCTTGTAAATGAAAGTAATCATTTGATGAGATCCCATTAATGATTTGATTTATGTTAATATTTTCATTACTTCCTTGGTCATTACAAATACAAATAAAATGGGGTTTGTTACAGTGTGAGATAATGTTTCTAAATTGGTCAGATAATCCTTTAGAGATGTCGTTATTGTCTTTAAATAAAGGAATACTTTGAGAATGCATTTTGAATGAATTTACAGATCAATTAAACATTTATATATCATTGTATTATGTCGTTAAAAATAATTGTTTAAAGAGAGTCTTCATAAAGATTATAATTAAGTTAATGAAAAATCATCAATCTATCTCTATTTTAATATTTTCTTCTTTTAACCTACTTAAAAAGAACTAAAATATTGTTTGTAATGGAATTTGTTCTTTTTGGTGTTATTTTTTTATTATTTTAACATCATTTTTATTTTTGAGTTACATCAAAAAAATATTTACTCATATAAAAATCATGAAAAACTGTCATTCCTTTCTCTTTAAGTATCCGATTTCTACTTTTTGATTTTAAGATCATCTCTGTTGACGTTTTACTATGATATTGTTTTGATTTCAGTTGCTTTTTAAATAATTTTACCATATAAACGCATTTTTATTCAAGAAAACACAAAAAACATTCAAAAAATATTAATTAAGTTTTAATGTACTTTATCTTATTCTATTTCTTGCTGATTCTTCATATATTAGACCATAATTTCTAAATAGACTCCATCTTTAAATAATTTTGGAATTACCCAATCATAGTTTTCATATTTTCAATTACAATACATTCTTTCTCTATCTTGGTAAATTTATAATAATTATTAACTGTCATCTACAGACAGTTCATTGTTGTTTGGATGTATAGTTTACTGTATTCATAAAGAGAATAAGTTCTAGTATCTCTTCCTCACTAAACATACCTATTTTATTCTCATCATCATAGCATAGATACAATTAGTTTATTAAAACTATTCTCAACAATTGATATAATTCCAATCTGTGTCATAATACATTTATGATCTCTTTTTAATAAAAACAACATTACATTCTCATCCAACAACCCTTTTATCTGAGTCTAAACAAAAGTAAATCTTTACTAATTATTCATTTTAGCTGTAATAAAAACAAGTTATTTAAAAGCATATTGTCTGATAATAACAAATTAACTTCCATTAAATAATCTGCTCCAATTCATTTCAGTATTTATTGTGAGGTTTATATGGTTTATTCCAAAAAATATCCTTTTTTGTTATTAGTATTACAATGAATTGCAATGAATCAAAACCATCACTGTTATCCTTTCAATCAAATCACAGAAGTAACACAGTAGATCAGGACATTTGTAGTAGCTATTTTATCGTATCCCATTAAGTTACTTTTAATAAGACATAATGTGTAAATCTGATGAATGTCTTTAAAATGTTGAAGGAGAAGAAGGGATATGAATAAATAATATCATAAATCAACAAAATAAAAAATAAAAAAATTCAAATACTTTTTAGAAGATATTTTTTTCCATTGAAAGGATTGATTTCATGAATAAAAGATGTTATTCCAAATTTATCTGAAGGACAATAAAAAATTAATAAAAATCAAAAAATTTATAGTTCTTTTACGAAAAAATAACTGAAATATTCAAACATGACTAACTACTTACTGTTATTCTTTTTCATTTCATTTTGTATTGGTGAGGTTTGTAAAAAAGCGGATGGGAATGATATTATAATCACTGTAAATCCGAAATGTACTGGTTCTACTTCAATTTCAAATGAATTAGAAGGAGATTATACTAAATATTCATTAGTTACTATTTTAATGAATAACAATACTGGAGAACTTTATTTTGGTTCAACAAATCCATTTAAAGCAAATAAAATTATTGCAAAATTAGAATATTCATCCCTAACTTATAAACTCAGCTTTAGAAGTATTAAAACAAACTTTGAACTTGAATTAATCAGTAACTCTTATTCGTTTAAAAATGTTCAATTTATTTTCTATAATGGAAATAGTCCAACAAGAATAATTGGAGGTGTTGATGAGTTGTGGGTTAATGGAAGTGATACTTATAATTATAATTATCATTTACCTATTCAACGTACTTATATTAATTCAAATCCTACTAATTTAAAATTTAGTTCTAATAATGGTATACAATATTTAATATCATCATATGAAGGGTCAATCAATCAAGTAACACCAAAATCATTAAATGATAAATATTTTAATCAAACATGTGGTGGAATGATTCGTTATTTTAGTTATAATAATATTGAAATTCATGATATAACAACAGAATGTAATCATCAAATTAAAAAAGGTGATGAAGATGATTTCAGTTCATTTATTGTTACTACCACTGTATCTTTATCTAATTATAATTATCTACTGTCATTATCAACAAATAATTATATTATTAGAAACAACTATGATTCATCAAAGACTCATACAGTATATACATATCCTAATCAATGGTTAAAATATGAATCAACAAACCAAACAAAATTCAATATTTATAGAAAGAAAGAACCATATCAAAGAATTGAATTTAGTTTAACAATTGAACAATCAAATGAAGGAACAACATTAATTAAAGAAATAGAAAATAATGATAAATCAATTTCAACACTAATTATTTCTTCTTCAAAACATTTATCTTTTTCAAATGATATCAAATTTTCAAGAACAACATCAACAACAAATAAAAGTCAAATAATGATTGTTGGAATGAAAGGTGTTACATTTAGTAATGGTAAGAATGATTATCATTGTGATACAATGATTTACAAAGAAGAAACAAGAGAATGTATTGAATGTGAATATGGATATTATTTAAATTCAAACAAAGAATGTCAAATTGGTTCACATTGTAATAAAACAAATGAACAAAATCATTGTATTGAATGTGAATATGGATATTATATTAATTTAAATACAAAAACATGTGAAGAATTCAAAAATGGATGTAAAATTGGAAATGAAACATATTGTTATCAATGTAAAGAAGGATATATTAAAGAAAAAGGAGAATGTAAAGAAATTGATAATAAATGTAATAAATCAGAAAGAAATTATTGTTTAAAATGTTCAAATGGATATAAAATAGAAAATAATCAATGTAATGGAGATAAAGAAGATCAATGTTATTATGAAGGAAATACGTGTGTGTCATGTTCAAATAAATATACATTAAATAATGGAAAATGTTCAAATAAAGAAAATCGAAATGGAAAGAATGAAGAAATATATTGTGAAAATGGAAAATACATTAATAATAATAAATGTATAGAATGTTCAAAATCAGAAATATGTCAAACAAATGATATTGAAATAAAATGTAAATATGAAGAATATTTAGATAATAATAAATGTATAAATAAAACATGTGAAGAAGATATGATAAAAGATCAAAATGGAAAATGTAATAATAATAATAATATTCAAAATTGTTTAAATAAATCATATGTTAATGGAAAATGTGTTGAATGTTTAAATACATATTCACCTAATTTGAAGGGAGAATGTATCAATACAAAAATAGAATATTGTGAAGAACAAAATGGATATGGATGTAAAAGATGTGAAGAAGGATATTATTTAACAAAAGATAAGAAATGTTTAAAATGTGATAGTAATTGTGAAACATGTTATGGAACACCTACATATTGTATGAGTTGTTCTAATGATAAATATTTAAGAAATGATAAAACATGTCAATCAAATGAAGAATTAAATGGAACGTGTTTACAAATATTGCAAGATGGAAGTGGATGTGGAATATGTAATAAAGGATATTATAGAAATGGGAAAGGATGTTCAAAATGTGGAAAAGAATGTTTAACATGTAATCAAAAAGATAAATGTATAATATGTGGAGAAGGATATTTTATGAGTTCAACAGGAATATGTAAATCAACAACAACAATTAAAGGATGTAAAGGAGAAATAGATAAAGAATATGGATGTAGAGAATGTTTAACAGGATATTATTTAATAAATAAAGAATGTTCAAAATGTGGAAAACAATGTATAACATGTTTAAATGAGAAAGAATGTAATAAATGTGAAGATGAATATATAATAATAAATAAAGAATGTATTCATTATTCAAATATTAATAAATGTAAAGAAACAAAAAATAATAAATGTTCAAAATGTTCATTTTGGTATGAAATCAATGAAGAAGGAACAAAATGTAATAAAGAAATCGTATGGTGGATGATAATGATAATTATCATCATTATACTTATTATCATCATTACAATAATTATAATTATAATAACAATGATTAATTACATTATAAAACGCAAAGAAAAGAAAGAACAAGAGAAAACAACAACAATATTTAAAATTTCACAATCAAATATCAAATTCATATCACTTGGAGATGGAATCATAACAAATAAAAAAGAAATAGAAATAGGAGAAGGAGAAAAAATTGAAGTAAATAAAGAAATCAGAGAATTAATATGTATTGGAAATGAGAAGAAAGAAAAAAAGAAAATACAAATAAGTAGTAAAGAAGAAAATGAAAAATATTCAATTAGAACAAACCCAAATATCATTACAATTGAAGGAGGATATGCATGTGAATTTGAGATATTCATTATAATCAAATGTACTACTAAAATTAAAGAACAAATAATGATAATTAGTAAAACACTTAATAAAACACAAGAAGAAATAATTAAAAGTATTTCAATTAAAGGAGAAACACAAATATCAACACGACTTGATCCAGATGAAATAAAAGAAGAACATAAAATAGGAGAAGGATCATTTGGAATCGTATATATAGGAGAATTTAGAGGGAATCAAGTAGCAATTAAGAAAATAAAACAAATTGAAGAAAATGAAAATAAAATGAAAGAATTTGAGAAAGAAGTAATGATGTTAGATAAATTTCGAAGTGAATATATCATTCATTTTTATGGAGCAGTATTTATTCCTAATAAAATATGTATGGTAACAGAATATGCAAAATATGGATCAATACAAGATTTAATTAATAAAAGAACAAACACAGAAATACCAAATAAAATAAGAATTAAATTCATGCTCGATGGAGCAAAAGGAATTTCATATCTTCATTCAAATGGAATACTACATCGAGATATTAAACCAGATAATTTTCTTGTTGTAACAATTGATGATAATATTGGAGTTAATTGTAAATTAACAGATTTTGGAGCATCAAGAAACATTAATATGATGATGACAAATATGACATTCACAAAAGGGATAGGAACACCAAAATACATGGCACCAGAAATATTAAATCGAGAACATTATAAAATGGAATCAGATATATATTCATATTCAATAACAATGTTACAAATCATTACATGGGAAGATCCATTTCCTAAAACAGAATTTAAATTTCCATGGGATATTGCAAATACAATCACAACAGGTAAACGACCACCAATAATACAAGAAGTTAAAGAAGATATTAAAGAAATTATTGAAAAAACATGGAAACAAGAACCAAAAGAAAGAATAACGATAAAAGAAGTAGTAAGAATGTTAGAAAGAATTCAGAGTAATAATTGATTACTTGGTAATTTCTTTTTCTTTATGAAGAAAGTATTCAGCCTATGCCAAATAGTTTTTATCAAATCTTTAAATCACAACGTACACATTTAATACAAGGGTAAAGAAGAAATGAAATAAACAAAGTCATGACATGAAATTTTTACTATAGTATTAAAAAATCTAATATTTTCTTGTCCTTAATTTGAACAAGAGAAAAAGACTCTCAAATCAAGTGGTTTTTAATGTTTAGTAAAACTCTTAAAAACTCTTAAATCCTATTTGAATAAACACACTGAAACCTTTGAGAATAATATTTAAATAAACTTTCTTCTTTACCAATTTATGCTTTTCTTTAATTGAACTACATTCAACATGAAAGCGTCTAATCTAAAATAATTTTATAAATAATTTACTGTTTTAATAACTTGTATATACATTTTTTTAATTCATAGTACTGTTTTTTTCTTGGCCTTGTAAGATGTATCTTTCTTGTTTCATTCCTTATTTAATGAACTGTCCATATTCCACTTGATAATAAATGTTTAATATAAGTCATTTTAATTAATGATATTCAAAATAAGAAAGAGAACAAGGAAAAATTATAGTTAAAAAATATAGTAATTAATAGTATTATTATAGTATTTATATTATAAAGAATAAATAAATAATTTTTATTAAAGTAATAATAAAAATAATAAAAATAATAAAATAGAATAAAATAGTTTAAATAAGATTAAAAATACTTTTGAAATTAATTAATTTAATAGTTTTATTTCTAATACTATTTTAGTTTTATTTAATTTTCTTAAATCATGAAAAAATATCATCATTTCTTTATATCATTCCTTCTTTTTTATTTTCTTCATTCTTTTACCAATATAACAGATTGTTATATTAAATTATGTTATTATAAATTACAACTTATCTTTAATATCGTTCATTGAAGTTGTAATATTTTTTGTATCTGTAATGACATTTCATTATATAATCAACAAAATTGAATCATTATTATATTACATTATTTAATTTATATTTCATAAATCAGATTGAAATAGATAATTACCAAATTATAATTGAAATATATTAACAATGTAGTTAATGTATTTGTTGAAGAAAAAATATTCAATGACGTATTAAATATCTTTTCTTTCATTTTTATTTCTAAAATTATTAAATTCTTTTCTAAATCGTTTCTTGTTTATTATTTCCTTTCTTTATATTACTCTCAATGAAAACATTCAAAATTTAAAATAATTGATTTAAATTTATTGTATTTTCTGTAGAATTTTAGTTACTTCTGTTTTAAATTCTTCAACTAATCTATCTGTTGTATTAAATGTCTTTCCATTCCATTTGAATCCATCTTCTCCTACTCGAACAAATTGACTTGAAACTGTTTTTGTTCCTGGAATAAAACTAATTCTTATTTTACCAATTTGTTGTTTAGAAACACTCAAGAAATAATTGAATACATTTGGTTGTGATGCTTTTAACTTAGATAGTGCAGAATCAACAAGACTATCATCAGCATTATATCTTCTGTGTTTTCTGAGATCGGCTAAATATCCATTAATCAATTTGATATATCGTTCAAGTGACCTTACATTATCAAAATCTTTTCTTTCTTTAATAAATCTAATTCTCATATTTCTTCCATACCGCTCACTCTCTTCTTTACACTCAACGTTTAATATAACGCTTGGTGTCCATTTCCACACAAGTAATAATTTCCCTTTAAATACTCCTTCTTCTGAAACTGGTACTATCTTATAATCTCCTATTGATCCTTGTTGAACATCTGACCTTGCTTTAGAAACAGAAACTATTTCAAATCCTCTCAAATCAACATCTCCATAATCTTTTCTATTAACCTCTTCTTTTTTTTCATGTTCATATTCTCGTGGATATACTTCTAAATATTTTTCTTTCTCTTGTAGTTGACGATACTCATTTTCTAAATATTGGTAATCATTTACTACATCATTTCCACATCGTACATCAATAATACATTTTCCATAGTCAACTGTCATGATTTTCCCTGTAATTGTTGTTCCACTTTCTACTCCATTCAAATTAATAGAGTCTTCAATTGAAACTTCTAAATCTTCACTGATATATCCTTTCTTTCTTTCTCTACTTCCTGGTTTTAGTACAAACTCAATTAGTTGATTCTTCTTAAATTCTTGAATAGATGAGTTTGTAACACTCTCAAAGATTTCTTCATCTTTCATCATTGCTTCTGCTAATGATGCTTGTTGATATTTGAATGGCTCAATTAATTCATTAACGATATCCATTATACAAATGTATATGCTATGTCCTTTCTCTTCATTTTCTTTCCCATATCCTTCCAAGTCTAATCTATTATAATCTTCCCTTGTTAATACCATTACTTTCTTTGTAAAATCATCTATTGGTCTTTTTCCGGTGAATGCATCATCTACTATTGTTTCTGCTAATCCATATCTTGAAAAATGAATTCTTGTTTGATCTAAGTACAAGTTCTTTGATGAATACTTTGGTGAAATGATAATAAATCCAATACAGTTATCAACTACAGTTTCTAATTTATCAGTTTTGAATGTTTCATTTAAGAATTTTCTTGATGTAACTTTGAAGTCATACTGTCTAAAATGACTGAAAATATAATCACTTCTTATTGGCCCTAGTCCATTAACATAATCCAACATTTTCTCCATATGAGGATATTCAATACATTGATTAATATCTACCCCTTTTGAATTGATTATAGTTATTAATGTTTCATTTAGTGCTGAAAACATTTTATTTTGTTCACTTTCATTTAACGTATTTTGTAACCAATGTAATTTAATACTAAGCATTTTCTCTTTTGTACAACAAATATGAACAAATTCTGCTATTGGATTAATAAGTTGTCTGCAAACACAAGCACCTGCAAATTCCAATTCTGATAATTCACCTTTTGTTTCTTTTTTATAAATTCTACCTAAGTCTTTATTAATTCCAACACATTCTATGTCAGAATTATTTTTCATTGTAGCTGTAACAGAAACATATCTTTGAGTATTTGCTTCAATACCAACAACTAAAGTATCTCTACCAAAAAATTTCTTTAGTTCTTCTTCGTACTCTCCATATTTACTAGTATTCTTTCCAAAATATTTTCCTTCAATAAACTCTCCAGTCATTGCATTTACTTTAACTCCCATCATTCCTTCTTTGCTAAAGACAATTCCTCCAACAAATTTCTTTTCTAATGTTGAAATATTACTAATGTCTTTACTATACTTTCCTAATGCAAAATGTTGTGCTACATCAATTCTTCTTTTTAAATTATATTGAGCTTCATGAATTAAACAATCAACTGCTTCTTTTCTTAATTCAATTTTAAGTTGTTCAACAACGTATGGAGTAATAAAATATTTAAATGCAAATTCAAGTGTTTCTTTTTTATATTTTCTCCATTCTTCTAAATCATCACCACCAACTAATAATGTTGATGCATTTTCTATAATATTTTGAGGTATTTCAATTGTCATAGTAAGAAGTCCTTCATTTACAGCATTAAATATATTTAATATATCTGTCTTTCCTCTTATTAATCCAATTGGCTTTCTTCTTAATCTTTTAATTATCGCATATTTATGAAACACATTAATAACTTCATCTCCTTTTTGTGTTGGGTCAGTACTTAATTCTGCATCTTTTAATCCTTCTTCAAAGAAAAACTTTCTTACATACCAATTATATGCAAACTCTGTTGCAAAAATCATTTTAGCTCCACTCATTATGTTTTTAGGTTCAGGAAATTCTGGATTAACCATTCGTGCAGCAATTGCTTGTGGAATTTCAGGACACATTTTAGGAATAGTTTTCTTAAAATTTGATTTAATGTTTTGAGCTAGTTCATCAGCAGTTAATCCAAAACCATCCAACATTTCTTTAAAGTTCTTTTGAATAAGAACTTGATATGATTTTTTTCCTTTTGAAATTTGTTTTAAAGGATCAAACTGATCTTTTCCATATCTCAATAAAAAGTCATCAGAAATCAATTTTAAATCTGGTAACTCAACCACACTATCTAATTCTACAGAATATAATGCTCTCCTTTCTTCAGGAATTTCTTTTAATCCTTCTTTTACTTTCTCTTTTTCTTTACAAAAAATAGAATACTCTTCATCAAAATTCCAAATCATCCATAACATATCTAATACCTGATAACTATCAATTTTGGAATAATCTCTTGATATATACGGATAATACCAATCTCTGTCATAAGTATAAATGTACATTAATTCATGATGATATTTATACATTAATTCTAATATTTTTCTTATTACTCCCATTAAGTCTTCTGCTTCTAATTGAATCATATATCTTAATTTTCCATCAAGCCATTCTACTTCTTCTCTAATTCTTCTATTCCATTCTTGATCATCTATTTCTTCATTATACTTATTTAGTACTGACTTCCTATCATATAATCGTTCAGGACAATCAGTTTTATATATAGTTTCAATCCTTTGTGTTCTCTTCATTTTTTCCTTATCAGCAGGTTCCAAACATTCAAGATATTTGCTTGTCATTTCTTCATCTTCACCAATGTCTTCTATTTCTTCATCCATCTCTTGTTCATTCTCTATTTCCATTTCATCGTCATCATCTTCTTTAATTAACTTTCTTTTTTTCTTTTTTGCTTCTTCTTTTTTGCGTTGTTTCTCAAGTTTCCTTTTCTCTCGTTCAATCCTTCTTCTTTCTTTCTCTTCTTCATCCTCTTCATACGCATCTTCTTCTGGAACTTCTTCTTCAATTTCTTCATCATCTGATGCAATAAATCCATCATGTGCAATATACCCCTCTCTAGTTCTAGGAACATCTTCTTCTTCGCTATTTCTTTCATCATAATCTTCACTCATTTTCTCATACTCTTCTTCGCTATCATATTTTGATTTTTTACCATCACTCTATCAATCAGACCTTCTTCTCAAAATTTTCTCATTTTAAAATCTTTTCATTCTCTCATTTATTTCTTGTCTTTTTGTAAAAAAAAAATTCTAAAAAGAAAAAAAAAACAAACACTTCTTTTCATGGTACTCCTTTAATGCTTTCTTTGAATAATTTAAGTTCATTATTTAAAGATTTTGCACTAAAGAAATTCCTTTTTTTTTTTTCTGAAGTGTTGTTACTTTATTAAAAGGAGAGTTGTTCAATTTTTTTCGTTCATTTTTAACCCTTTTTAAGGGTTTTTTTAATTCTTTTGATATTTATTATTTTTTTATAATTTAATTTTTATTATTTTATTCTTAAAAAATATAAATAACAAAAAAAATTAATTAAAAATGTTATCCGACCATGGTATTTCATTTAAATTAACATCAACTGATTGAGGGATATAAGCAAGGAAATCAGTCATTTTGACTTGATCTAATGGACGATTAAACAAATCACTTCTCCATCCATGATTACTTTTAAGCATATTTTTATTAAAATAATTTAAATAATCTTGAACAGTCATATTACTTTCTTTGTTTAATGAACGCTGGAATAATACATCCTGATGTTGGTCCCATAGGTCTGAAGTAATAGCACCAATTTCATTTGAAATATAACCAGAATAACTTGATTGACCAGTTACACTACTTCCAACTGTAATAATATTTTTTGCTTTAATTCTATCACTTAAACTTGTAGCTTGACAAGTGTCAACTATGAACATGACTTCTTTATATCGTTTCATAATTTCCATTTCTTTAAACATATATTCTATATCATATGATGTAATTTCGTCTCTATTTTGAAACTTCATAAAACCTTCTCCTCCATGTCCAATTAAATAAATAAATGTCCTTTCTCCTCTTACAAGTCTTAAACTATCAGGAGTTCCTTTAACATCTCTTCCAAGCATTGCTCTCATATATTTTTCAATACTAACATCTCTTCCCTTATAATCAATAATAATATCTTTATAAATATTCGGCATGTTTGTATTTAATCTCATCTCTCCTGGAAATATATTTCTTGGATGACACGCATGATCATCAGCATTAAAAAATAATAATTGGTCATCTAAATATCCTAATCTCTTTAATGTATTATATATTAATACTCCACTATTAGTATGTCTATAATTTAACCAATACCTTGATAAGTTAACTACAACGGCTTGGTTTTGTTGTGGTTGTTCAATACCAAAACAAAAACACAAAAGTAAGGTTATGATGATGTTCATTTTCTTTTTTTAATTTTTAGTTTTTCCTTTTTTTTTCTCTTATCAAATTTTACTTAGATTTTTATTCATATCTCTTCAATTCTTTTCTTCATTCATTAATTCTAAGTTATGCATTTTTTGTCTTTACACTCAACACTCTTTTTTACAACTGTTTTTTTCTTTTAAAGAGCTTCTTTTTTGGTAAGTATATTGTATATCATTTTATCATCTAACTAATTTCTTTTTATTGTATCATTATTATGAACTTAAAAGTGGTTTTCATTTTTAGCCTTTATTTTCCTTCTTTTTTGATGATGCTTTCAGATTATATTTAAATACACATTATTCTACACTGACTTTTGATTTAAAACAACAAAGATCGATTAGTTATAATATTAATATACTTTCCTTTTTGGTATTCAAATAATGAATGTATTTTGAATAAAATAAGAAGATATCATAATAAAAGGAAATGGTATTGATATATAAGTATAAATAATAGAAAATTAATTGAGGATTGGTGTTATGTATTGATATAAATATTTTAATTTTCTAATTACAATTATTACTTTAACACATTCATCATAATAATTAAATAACAAAGTGTAATTTATTTTCAACGACCATTTATTTCAATTTCATTGGAGTAATAATTTTAACATCAATTTTAAGAAATGTATATTATCATAGTGAGATATAAAGATTGAATCATTAAAATAAAAATGAACAAATAAAAACATAATTTGTGGAAAAGAAAAGAAATAAATGATAATTTAAAAATAAAGAGTTATTGAAAAAGAATTTAAAATACTGAGAGAAACAGAAATAAATAATATACATGAAATAATGAATATTGTAACTAATGATTGAGTTAATATCTTAATATTTTTATTAATAAAATAAAAGAGTTATAAAATTAATACAAATAAGTACTAATAAAGAAAAAAAAAACATTTTATTTTATTAAAACTAGATAATATAGTTTCTATTTTATAAGACATAGACTTATATATTATATCAAAAAATTTAAAGAAATCATCAAAATAAAAGTTTAATTAATATAATTCTATTTATGTATTTTTAGATAAAAGTAGTATTGAATCAATAATAGTAATATTAATAATATTATGATAATATATTCCAATTAAAAAAAAGAATAAATATTAATAATCTCAAGTAATTGAGTCAGTATGAAAAATATATGAATTGGAATATAAGTCATAGTTAAAATTATAGTTATTTGAGAGCTTGTTTTAATTTAGTTAATTGAGTAATAATTCAAATTACTAATATTTTTGGTTCATTAAAATAGAGTGTTGAGAATTTATTTAGAAATATTTATTCTTTTTAGATTATAATAGAAAATTGGCAGTAAGTAAATAGAATAATGAGTTTTGTTTTATTTAAATAAAACAAATTAAATTAACAAATTTAAATTTTAAATATTTTTTGAACTTTTGTTTAAGATTTAATAAAAAGAGTATAAATTATATGATTATGATAAATAATAGTAAATAAGAAAGATAATAACAACTTATCTTTTTTTTTTCTTCATTAACTATAAATTTATCAACAACGAAGAAAAATTTAATCTATCATATGATAAAAATGATTACTATTTTAATTCAATTATATTTATTTATATTATTACTAATTCATAATCATTATTTTTTAATTAAATAAATAAGATATAAGGATATGAATAATTCATAAGATATATAATATTTAAATCAAGTGAATTTGTCAATTTAAAAATAGTCATATTTTTTAAAATTTTTAAAAATTTGATTTAATGATAAGTATTAATGAAAAAAAAATAATTAAGTTCTATTTTTTAATGTATAACTTTTATTCATATTTATGAAATATTATTCCAAAATAACAAGTTAATAATGATAAACAAAAATGATAAATTAAATGTTAATAAAATAATTTATAAATACAAAGTAAATACATATATTTAATAAAAGAGAAAATTAATAAATACTGACAAAAAGAAAAGAAATAAATTATTTATATTTTTATTAATTTTTATATATTGTATTATTCATTAATCAAGAAGTATATTATAGAAAAGGGAACCAAAATAAGCGAAAAAAATTATGCATTTAAATAAATTGCTCAATTGAAAATAGTGTAATATATTTTTTGCTTAATAGAATATTCTGTTTTCTATTGTTTTCTCTTAAAAATATAAAATAAAATAAAAAGTAGGTAAAATATGAATTCTATAACAATCAGTTGACACTTTGTAACTTCTTGTTGTTTTGAGTATGATGTATATTGAATTGTTGAGTATATTCATTCATAATTCTGTTCATTTTATATTATTCTTTATTTTATTTCATTTACCATCAATTCTATTTTAATGTGAAAATATCATTATGAAAAATAATAAAGAAGAACATTATGTTAATTCAAATTTATAATGTTATTTATGAATAACAATGATTACATAAATATGAATATCCATATTATTGTTATTAATGAGTAAATACGTTATATTTCATTTATCATACTGATGAGATATCATAATGATATGTTAATAGATGTTATTATTTATTTATTTAAATGATATAATTATTGATATGAAAATTAAATTATATCACAGATGATTATCAATGATGAATGATGATAATATACAATTTAAATTATTTATATTATCATATCAAACACGAGATAAATGATGAAATAAATAAAAAGATAATAAATAAGAAGTGTCAATGAAATGATGATATGATAATAACGGCTACGAAAAAAGCAAATAAGAGAAAAAGGAAGAGAAAGAATGATATAAAAGAAAAAAGTGAAATTAAGAAGTAAAAGAAGATGAAAAGAATAAAAGTAGAATGTTGAGATTATAAAATGAAAGAAGATAAAAATGAATAATTCAAAAAGTGATAATAAATGATGAAAATAATGATGAAATAATGGATGTATTTTTTATTATAGAAATTTGAAATATGCAATAAAAAAGTGTTTAATTTATTGATGCAAATTATTTAACATTATTTTATTTATGCAATTTATTTTATTCATTTTTATTTTTATAATTTTTATTTATATGTATTATTTATTATCTTTTTTTCTTTTTAATATATTGATTATTTTAATTTATTATTTATTATTATTTTATTTATTTTTCTCTATTCTTTTATTTGTTCATTTTTATTATATTTATGAAATATTTCATTATTATAAAATAATTTTATTGTTTAATTATTTAAATGATTTATATTAAAATGAATTTATTTTATATTTTAATAAATTCTTTAATATTATCATTTTATATTATTATTATTATCTTTATTCTTTCATATTTTTATTACTATTATATTATTATTATTATATTTTTCATTTCTTATTTTATTTTAATTTATTATTAATATTATTTATATTTCTTTTCTTTCTTATTCTTCTTCTTTATTCTTATTATTTCTTTATTTCTTATTTTTCTATTTTATTTATTTTCATTTGATTCATATTTTCATTTCTTGTTTTCTTGTTTTGATTATTTTGATTTGATTTAATTTTAATTTTTAATATTATTATATTTTTGATTATTAATATTTATTTATCATTTATTTATTATTTGTTTTTATTATTATCATTTGATTTATATTTATTATTTATTTCTTTTATTATCTTTCTTTTCTTTATTCTTTATTATTTATATTATATTCTTATTTCTTATTATTTATTTTTGATTTTAAATGATTGTTTCAATATTCATCATTTTATTTATATCTATTATATTAATCTTATATCATTAAATTCTATCATTAAATATTAAATAATCAATGTGATATAACAAAATAATTTAAATAATATATCATTATAAAATGAAATAATTAATAAATGATTTCATAATGAATATTAAATTCATAAAATAATGAATAATATAATATAAAATGATAAATAAAAATAAAAATGATAATAATAATAAATAATAATACAAAATATAAATAATAATAAATATAAAAATGATATAATACAAATATATTAATCAAATTAATATATAAATAAAAATAAATAATAATAATAAACAAATAATAAAAATGAATATATTTTTTATTAAACAATCGAATAAATAAAATAAATAAAAAGATAAATAATAACAGAATAAGAATAAATTCAAAAAGAAATATATATAATAAATAAAAATAATAGAAACACACATAGAAAAAGAAATAAAAAAATAAAATATAATAAACATAAAATAATAAAAGAATAATAAGAAAAGATAAAATAAATAATAAAATAAATAAATAATAAAATAATAACATAATATTTATATTAATAAAATACTAAATGATATAATTAATAAAATCAAATATAACATAATATAAATAATAAATATGATAATTAAGAATAAAATAAACACAAAAATAAGAAATAAAATAAATAACAAAAATACAAAAACAAATATATTCAAATAAAAAATAAAATAATATAAAAAAGAAGAGAAAAGAATAAAAATATAATATATAATCAAATATAAATATTATATGATTAATATATAATATGTAATATATAATAAATAATAAATTCATATGATATAGATAGAAGATATAAAAATTAAATGAATAATAATAATAAATAATAAAGAAATAATAAGAGAAATGATATAATAATAAATAAAATATATAAAAGAAATAATAAATAAAATCAATATAATAATAATAATATAAAGAGAAAATTGATATAAATTATAAAAATATAATAAAAATGAAAATAAGATAAAGAAATATATTAATATATAAGAAATTATATATAAATAAAAATATAATAATATATAAAATAAAATATAAATAATAAGAATATAAAACTAATAAAATATGATAAATATAAAATATATAGATAATATGATGATATACATAATATAATAATAAAAATAAATATAATAATAAAATACATAAATATATAATAATAAAATACATAAATAAAATACATAATAACATAATAATAACATAATAATAAAAATGTATACTTACATTGAATCAAATATCATTTCTGAAACA